GAAGACGGCCAGTCATCGATGGGCCGCAGTTGTGTGCAGAAAGATGCGATCTACGTCATGGGATGCCACAAACTGTGCCACTACTTCGCGCTGAGAGATAGTGCGTTCGAGTTCTATCTCTCAGCGCGGTGCTTAGTTCATTTAGCATAGAAGCAAAAGCGTGGAATCGGCTGGCCGATACGAATTTTTATTGGATATTTGGGTCGTTCTCGGATCCCCGGAGGGTCTTTCCTTAAATTTTCCGCGGCTATGTTAACCAGTGCAGGCAGTAAAAGAAACAGATATCACAGAAAAATACGAATAAGGAATTTGTTTTTGAGTTTTATTTTTTCGGCTAATTAAACTTCAAGAAAATATTTTTTTTTTAAATACATTTTGGCAAAAATTGTATGTATTTATATATTTTTTATTTGGTGTTTGGTCATCTTGTTTTTTGGTACGGCCCGGCCGACCCTGCCGCCCCTGACGAGCCGTCACTGGTGTTACTTGTTTATTCTTTTCTATTTGCCTCCTTTTTTTTTTGGAAAATCTTTTTCTATGTAATTACTACCTATCTCGTGATTACTGCGTATTGGAAATCAGCTAACTGCGGCTACGTCTGTTATTATTTTATGTGATGGTAGAGTATATGTATAATATAATATGATGTATATCCAATTTCATTTTTGATTCTGTCGTTCGGTGACATCCACGTCATTTTCCAAGTTCTTTACTCTTGAAATGCTCTTGAAGAAGTTACATAGAAGTTACGATTTCACTGAAACTAACCAAGACTTGACCTCTTTCATTTTGTTGACCTATGCCAAACTGATATTAAATTTTAAATCAACAGTTATTTCCTAATATTTAAATCAATCCAACAATAATATTTAAATTTTGTGTAATTTATACCGCAATTCAAAGTTTCTTGGTTGGTGTTTTTGCCTCGACCATTTTGTTCAGTATACCACTATAAACTTTGCGATCCACCCAAGTGACTATTTTTAAAAAATTCCAAGAACTGGTAATGCGGGTTTTAAAATCCTCCTTTACTATACGGCCTACATCTAAAATTATCTGGTTAATTTATATACTCGGCAGGATTTGCAAAGATGTTCTGTACGTAGGTACCTATCGATTTTATTTGTAATTAGATCGAAAAAAGATGGTTTCCTCTGGATTTTTGTACGGTCATTTTTAGTTAAAGTTATTGTTTATACTTAAGCTTTGTTTTGCAAAACCTTGGTTCGCAGAATATAGAACAGAACCATACCATATTCTTATATTTTGACTAAGCCTTTTAAAATTTCTATTCTACAATCAATTATTAGATAGGTATAGTTTTATCATATTATCGACTATAAATATGCTCAAATGTTTGAGATAATCAAATTTTGCATCAAAATTGTGTAATTTTAACCATGTTTAGTGTTATTCAATGGATTTGTGTTTCCAGGGAGAAACGAAATATTGGTATACAGTTGGGTATATTTATGGATAGATTTGAGGTTCGGACATTTGGAATAAACGAAATATAGTTTTAAAGATTTATTTCAAGCTCAACTGAACTCAATCCGTCACTATATTTATCACCCCTGCTCTGTCATACCACTTATTACTGGTAACTAGGTACCTGACATCCTTCTTTCTCTAGAAATTATAGATAATATTGACAAAAATAAAAAGAAATAAACTATTATAAAAATGACAAAAACATCTAAAAAACAATAAGTTTTTAAGAAACATAATCTCTAAAAAACTCTGTTTTTTTAATAATTCTACCAGACCTAGAAATACCAGTCTTTGGCAGAACTCCAGTTTGTCAAAACCTAAACTTGAGCGGTCAAGATTCTGATTTATAGTTTCCTTCAATTTTATAGATTGACCAGTATTATTGGCTGTCAAGTTCAAGTTCTGCTCTTTCTCATCTGTCCTTTGCGATTCTGAACCAGATCCAATCCCCTCAAACTTCTGTCTAGGCGACGCTTTATAAATGTTAAATCTATTTCTGGTCACAACATTGCCTGAAGGTAATTGAACCTGATAAGAACGTGGTGCATTACCCTCCTTGACTATTTTCGCTTCAGTCATATCATGAACATTATCTTTAATATGTACTACCTCCCCTTTATTGGAAAAATTGGGTTTAGCATGATTTCTCATGTCATGATAATGCTTATTCAAAACCTGCTTGAGTTGTAAATGTTTTTGAATAACCTTTTTGTTATTTACAATTTCCTCGCCATTACTTATATTTTGTGAAAAATTTTCTGGTACTGTCAAGCCTTGGCTGCTGCTATCAACTGACAAAACAACCTCTGTATTGACATCATAATATTTTAGTACAGGTGCACATGTGATCATTTTTTAAAGTTTTTCAAAATCAGATGTTTCTTTATCAGACCAAATAAACTCTACATCTTTCTTAAGCAGTTGTCTCATCGAGCTGGTAACATCCGCCAAATTTTACAAAAACTTAGATACATAGGTAACCATCCCTAGGAAAATCTGAAGTTCTTTTTTGGATTGTTAAATTTCAAAATAGCACTCACCTTGTCCTTATCAGGTCGTAAACCATTTTTTGTTAACACATGACCTATATAACGTACTTCACTTGACCCGAATTTACACTTGAGTCGATATTTAAACGAACATTGACACGTTTAGCTCTAACACTACTTCCAGTCTTTTGGCGTGTTCTTCTCTATTCGCTGCCCAGACTATAAAATCATCTATGTAAATTTTCACTCCTGGAAGTCCATCAAAAATATTTTTGAATGTACGAAGAAAAACTTCCGGTGCAGAGCACAGTCCATAAGGCAATCTCCTATAACAACATCGCCCATAATACCCAGCAATAAATGTTGTAAGTATTTCACTTTCTTCATGCAACTTGATCTGATGAAAGCCCTTATTGCCGTCCAGTATTGAAAAAATATTTGCTCCTTCCATCTTGGATGCAATTTCCTCAAAAGTTGGAAGCTGATACTACCCACGTACTATGGCTTTATTCATATTTTGTGGGTCTAAACAAATTCGAAGACTATTGTCTGGATTTTTTACAATGACCATAGAACTGCACCACTCAGTTGGTTCAGTCACTTTTCACAAAACGACCATTTTCTCCATTTTTTTATCTAGCTCAATTTTAACTGACTGCTGAAGGTTGATTGCAATTTTTCGTGGAGGTTCTACAACTGGCTCTACCTTTTTCTTCAACCGAATTTTATATGAAATTGTCAATTCACCAATGCCTTGAAAAATATGGTCGTATTTTTTTACTAGACTATCAATCACATATTTGTCTTCCTGTTCTACCGATCCTACTATCTTTATAGTCCAAGAGCCCAGAGCCGCCAGACACAACTTATTCTCTAAAGGATAGAATATGTGGGATTGTGTAGCACTTATATGTACTATGAACGTATGTATACCCGCTAAGTTGGGTTAGACGGCCAATTTACCGACACCAGGTGCGAAAGCTTAAAAAGTACTTTAACTTTTTTTCTAACGCTTGATTTTTATACATGTTATTGGGGAGACTATTTCATAACTACGTGTGCTCAGCCAGACCAATCGCACCGTCCAAACATCCCCCCAGACGCAATAATAGTTTTTCCGTGAGTGTGAGCGCGAGGGTACTATGCATGCGTTTGAGAGTGAGCGAGATATCTATTTCCCCCTCTTAAACTTACAGTCTACTCCAGGCTAGAGTAGAAATGGGATTCGGTTTTTCCCATAATGGGAAAAACCGTTATTTACAAATAACAGTCAACTGGCCGTCTACCCAACTTAGCGAGTATACATACGTTCATAGTACCTATAAGTGCTACTCAATCCCACATATTCTGTACTTTAGAAAATAAGTTGTGTCTGGCGGCTCTGGGCTCTTGGACTATTAGCAGATTAAACATCTCAATAAATGGAAGACCAATTATGCATGAAGCTTTAAAGTTGACTACAATGAACACTACATTGTGCTTTTTATTATTAGTTTCACAGATAAGTGTAGTTTGTCCATAAACACCCATTAAAGACCCTTGATATAGTTCAATAGCTTTGTATTGGATGACTGAAAATTGGTTGGTTAGTTTACAAACTAGCCAAAGGTTTGGCTATTTTGTGTTACTAGAAATCATGGTTTTCAAATTAGCCAGGCTGCATTGGATAGTTTATAAACTAACCAGCTAATTTAGTTTTCTTAATAATTTCAAGTAAATTAGCCAAGACTTTTGGTTAGTTTGCAAACTAGCTGCTATTTTAATAAAAATTGCGTTTTCTATCAAAATAGCCAAGGGGTTGGTTAATTTGTGAACTATCCAGCTAGTTTACAAACTAGCCAAGTTTGCATATTAACCGTAACATATACAAACAACTTTACATCAGTAATAAAAGTAAACTATACGAAACAATACTCTCTATATTAGTGGATAGAACAACTGAGTACAAAGTTAAATGAAAATGGGAAGTTTGTAATTACGTAGTAAATAAGCATTAGAGTTTCTCCAGCATTCATCAACCAATCACAGACACTTTTTAACTTCGCATTAACTACCTATTTGATATCTTAACATATCAAAGCATTCAAAGCGCGTCATATGCATAAAGTGAATGTAGGTAAACAAATACTGTGGTATTCAGTTTAATTAACCTTAAAGCTTTACCTACTAAGTAATCCCGCATTTTAAAATAATTAAGCCATATAGCGATTAACTAGATTATTAACGACTTATACACGAACCGAAAAACACTTGTTGGCTTTAATATTAAATTACCCACCCAATTACCATAATTGCGAATACAACTACTCAGAGTGTAACTTTGCATAAATTGCATGCCAGGGTTGTAACGTGGGATCGAACTAAGGCGTTAACGCTTTTAGTAAACGACATCCGAATGCGATAATTCGCGATGAGCAATCGACATATTATATTAAAGAAGGAGTTCAATGTTATCATGTTTAAATAAATATAAAATCCCACATTTTATCCTATTAAAAAAAATTTAATTTAAATTTTCAGGGCTATGCGAAGTAGAAAATGGAACGTCGAACATCATTGTAGATATAGAAGAAAGCAGAGACTCTTGTAAGTATCTTTTCTTATTTAGTCCTTCTTGATCATAGTTTTTTGATAGTCTATAGATATTTGCAAATTAAGCACCACTTCTAAATCGCTCATATATTTTTTATCGGAAATTTAATTTGTAATTTAGTAGCCGCCGTTCATTAGACAAATCCTCAATCTCTACAGAGATATATTTTTCGGGCAGCGGTCTGTTAGAAGTAAAACTCAATTGCTCTTACTCAATATTTCGTTTGAGTTTTATTTGAATTTTACTTCTTTTACTTGTACAGTCAAAATTATATATTGATAAGGAGTTTTCATTCGGGCTTAATGGCCGTCATAAGTTGGAATTTCTCCCTGACGTTTCGCTAGCACACGTGGCTAGCATCTTCAGAGGTGCTTCCATGTCCGATTCTGGTAGCAGACTGACGCGTTCCCAACCGTAAGTTGTATTTATGTGTGAGTGGCTGTGGTGGGGGAGGGGCGGGGCTTCGCGGCATGTGGCTAATCTAAACTTTCTCTGTACTCAATGGGATCTTTCTTGCGTTTCTGAGGATCGGGTTCCAGATTTGGTTAAGTTTGCTAGCCACGCGTGCTAGCGAAACGTCAGGAAGAAATTTCAACTTACGACGGCCATTAAGTCCGAATGAAAACCCCTTATCAATAAACCTGGGCCGCGAAAGCCTCACAAGCTTCATCAAAATTATATATTTTTCTTTATAATTAATAATTAAAAACTGAAGAAATATGAATCTCAAAAACTTACAGACAGAACGAAATTGAGCAGCAAAAAAGTAAACAACAATGTAGAAACCTTTTTCTTGAGGAGTGAAGTGGTGTAAAAGTATCCCGAGGGAAAACTCATTAAACCAGCACATTTCGCCTCTTGCGACCCAACTTATGAGCTAATTCCTGGTGAGAGATAAGCCTTCTGAAAGTATATGGTCCAGAACATTTTCTCGGCCTTCTTCTTTAGGATTTTTTTCAAGGGTTACCACCTGTAGATCTGGCCGTTCATCGATGAGAAAATTGAAAGAAAGACCATTAATTATACCCTTCGAATATTTGCATTTTTTGACTCAATCATCATCAATTCAACCTTTTGCTGCCATTGTTGGCCTTCCCTATCAGTCTCCATTCGGTTCTGTTTTGGGCAGTTATATCAGTTTCTTGTGACATATTTAGTCCATTTAGTAAGCGGCATTCATCTTCTACGCTTAATTGTCTGCACATGGTCTCCATTCCAGCTGTCTTTTGGATCATCCTTAGTCTTTGATTCCGGCTACTTGGTCAGTCCATTCCGCTCTTCCTAGGAATCTATTTTTTACATGGTCTCTTATTACGGAGAAACTCTGCATTGATCTCTCCATTCTTCAAGAACTAGTAGTCTGATCAAATGGTGGTCAAAATTGCCTGTTTCGTAACATGAATGCGGTTGAAGGTTTTATATGGAATTATATGTTTTTTGGGGTGCTGAATATGAATCTGAAGTTTGCTGCCGCATAGCAGTACCGGCTCAGGTCGAAAAACGCGAAAAATCTAAAAATTTTCGGACTTTTTCCGGTTTTATGGTAATATCTTGCAAACGACGCATCGTTCGAAAAATGTCATGGTATTCAAAGTTGAAAAGCATAAAATTCTGCGTCGAATATCCTTCCTAACCTTGTTACTGCTACATACATATAAGCTCGTCATCGTCAGTCGAAAAAAACCAATTTTAATGAATTTACTAGCTCTTTTTCTTCAGCTGACTATATGGTCCTCCCATGATTTTTTCTACAATTATATTTCTCATCTTGTTAATCTAAAATCTAAATGTAATAAATAATTTTTTTTTTGTGTAAATGGTTGTTGAAGCTGCGAGCTCTCAGGACCGCATTTTTTACTCTGATGAACTCAAACATTACTTATGGAATTGCATTTTGGGGCTGTTGCAGTACTACAAATTTCAACTGCATATTTATTTTACAAAAAAGAGCCGTTAGGTTCACGCTTAGAGTTCTCTTCCGACGATCTTGCAAACCTAGCTTTATTTCTCAGAATTTTAACTGTGCCATGCTTAAAAATACTCGGAAGTGTTTGCCTGGTCTATAGGAAATACTATGACCAACTTTCTTCAGCGAAGGCACTATCAAATAGGCAAGCTAATAATATTCCACTGTCAATTCCCTGAAGCATCTTGGGGAAGAAGCCTTTTGTTTATTTTTCCAAGAAAGCTTTAAATTTTCTATCTAGCGTTAGGTCTTTACGCTCATACGGGAAGTTTAGAGAGGGGGTAAGGGAGTTACTCTTGACTAAAGCCTACTATGATATTGAAGAATTCTTTGGAAACACTCTGTGAACATATTATTTTGAACTTAGATGAAATTTTAAATTGTTGTTTATCAATGAAAAGTTTTTTCTGGACAATAAAGTACTTTTTAATTTGGTTGATTTGATTTGATTACTTCCTATTACATCTATACATATAACATAGGTAATAATTATAAATCCTCAAGTCAGACTTACAAAAAAATGGAAGAAGAAGTAATTTAGGGTTGACAAAGTGGAGTTTGACTAGTTTGAGAAGTAAGGGGGTTTATATTGACAGGCACAGACTTTTTATTATTGGGCCCCTTCATTTTGTCATGTACCATCGTCACCAAAAGTAACTGGGACAGCATCACATTAGCTCTTGTCCTATTATATAAATTTTATTGACAAATATTTGTCAAACTATGAATTAAATGTATTGAAATAAATGACAGTGGAAATAGTCCAGGAGATTAGTATGCATTATTTGTGTCCCAGATAGTTTTGCTGACGATGGTACATCTTCAAAAAATTTTTTTACTTAGAGTGGTTTTTTGAAATCACTTTCGTCTAAATGTTTATTGCATTTTTCTCAAAAGTTCATTAAAATTGGCTTTTTCCGACTGACCATGGCAGGCTTATAAATTTACAAGGTTATAAGGTTAGGTATTTTATTCGACGCAGAATTTTATGCTCTTCAACTTTGAATACCTACTATTACATTTTCCGTACGATGCGTCGTTTGCAAGATATGACCAGAAAACCGGAAAAAGTTCGAAAATTTCGAGGTTTTTCGCGATTTTCGTCCTGAGTCGGTTCTGCTACGAGGCAGCAAACTTCAGATTCGTATTCAGCACCCCAAAAAACATATAATTCCGAACTCCGTTGGAAAACCTTCTACCGCATTCATGTCACCAAAAAATTACCATTTGTTTGGACTATAGGTTTTGCAGTCGTCGCCATGATCAGGAGTATGGCACTGCTTGAAAACTTTCCTCTTTAAGCAGACAGGAACGTAAGCATGATTTCGTGATTCTGTTTTTCAATTTGTTTGGCTGATTATCTCTAGAAATGCGCATTCCATGAACCAATAAGTAGGTAGCTGTCCCGCGTTTTTGTTTCTCCCAATAGCAATATTTTCGAAAAGGAGAAGGTTGGTCATACTCTCGGTCTTCAACAAGTTCATGCTTTTTGTAGCTCCTGCATCATTTTCCTTCACATATCCACGACTGTCAGAGATAAGCACATTGTCTTCTATCTATTTGCAAGCCTCTATGATTTTAATTGTAAGTACTGCTCGAATGCCATATCCAAGACTGTGATAAAGAGCTTGAAAGACATTGTTCTTCGCTTATCTGATACCACGACCAATAGCTAGTGTTTTCTTGCAGTTTTTGCAGATGTCATGGATGAGGTATCGGTACCTGGTCTTCTATATTCCTGGAGAGCTTCCATAACAGTGATCAGCTCTTTTGTGTCGGGAGCTTTATGGAAATTCACGAAAGTCAATACCATAGGTTTTTTGTATTCTCCTCAATAAGTATGACCTTTATGCTTTGGAGGTGATCATTGGTACTAAATCATCTCCGCTCTAATGTTTTCAAAACATGGTTATGATTCTGATGAAAACCTGAAAAGATGACTCGAAGGATATCCAGTTTTGTGTAGTAGAGTTACGATGCAATTTTATTTGGAATCCATCTATTGAAGAGGCAAATTCGAGAAGACTCAGTATTTGAATCAAGCGTTGTTCTGTTTTCATTACCTAACCCCAGGGACCACATTGTCTGCACCTATTGCTTTATTGTTTTTGGTTCTCTTCTGCCGACTCTATTTCTTCCGCACGGTATTCTAGGCAATTCTTCCGAGCCTCGATTGGACGTTAGAAACTTCTGTTCAAGCCTCGATGATTTTGCGTCGATTTTTATACACCTAGTAGCTTATACATATTTCAAATCTTCCACAATGCGCATAATTTTCTTTCTGTTGGGTTGTAGCACTTTCTTCTTTGTGGATGATCTTGCATATTCCTTTCTTCCATCTGTGAGTCGTTCACTTAGTAGTTTCATACTTCTGTTGCTCTTAATTGTCTGGTCAATTTCATTTTTGTAAAAATGACATCTCTTCTTATGGCTTTGGATATTTGTTTGTCCATGTCTCTCATTTCGCGTAGGTACTCTGACAGTTTGTTTACTGCTTGCATTGCTGCGATCTTACATTAGAGTCCTGGTTTCTTCGCTGATTTTCGCATCTTGGTAACCACTCAGAAGAAAATGAGCCTGGAACAGCCCAGTCGCATAATTCCTTCTCCTTCCGATTAATGTGCGATGAGACTGAGTACATTAAGCTTTGATTCAGAATTTTGTGGTGCCGGATTTGCTACAATTACTCAGGATAAATTTCTCGCACTCGTCAGTTTGACCCACTAAGGACAATTATTTTTTTGTACTTGTTTGGAAATACTTTTTTGAAGCAAAGACCATCAAACAATTACAACACAATGTTGAATAACTAGTTTAATAAATACTTTGATTAGTCAATTAGCGCGTTTGTCTAAAACAAAAACACTTTATGTTAACAATTATCAAATTTCCGTAACCACTAAAAACAAGGAATTATTAGGTCCGTACGCACATTCTAAGCCGGATAGAAAAAAACCACTATTTAGATACTTATTTCTTTCTCTTTCAACAAGAACCAAAAAAAAAACATTTAAATTAAATTGAGTTATTGTTAATGCCGAGTGAGTATCCTTTGTCTTTTTAATGGTACTTTAATCTGGTGTTAAATTTGTTCATTTTGTGTGCACTAATTATAAGACGTCAATTTGCTGCTATGATGTTTAATTGCCTGCGTCAATCAGTGGAATTAATGAAAATATTTTATCTATTTCAGCTATTAGCCAAGAAACTATCCCAAAAGAACTGCCCATTGTGGGAGAACCAAATGTAGATATATTTTTAGAATTGTCCTTCCCTAGAGGTCCCCCATTGTTTTTTCTCAATGAGAAAAAATTGCAGTTGTTAGCCCCTATTGATAGAGACGAAGACAGTAATTCCCATATAGTTTTTCAGGTAAGAAAATGTCTTTATAAATTACACAGGCCTACAATTTTTTGTTTTTGTTTTGGTGCAGTTCCGTTCTTATCTGTAGTTGGTAAGGTTGTTGATATACTATTAATCACGAATATTTATTCTCACGAGTCAGTTCGAGTTTAGTACCAATCGTTGTTTTTTAAGTTTTACGGTCCTACGTGGCAATATTTAAGTTTTACGGTTGTACCGGAGAAAAAAGTGGTTTTATTCCATGATGGCTAGTAAGATGAGGCGTTGTATTAACGACCCTGATAAATTTTGTTACGTTTGTGGTGAATACATTCTCAAAGATCAGCGAAAAATGATATCAGATAATGTAATTCGCCTTTATTTTGCTTATTTTGGTATTGAAATTCACGATCAGGATAAATCATGGGTGCCTCATATTGTGTGTAAAATGTGCACTGAACATCTGCGACAATGGGCGAATGGTACAAGGAAATCTTTAAAATTTGGAGTGCCTATGATTTGGAAGGAACAAAAAAATCATCACGACGACTGTTACTTCTGTATGGTAAATATAGTGGGGATCAACAAGAACAATCGCCATAAATGGAAATATCCTAATGTATCTTCAGCGAGAAGACCAACTTCCCATTCAGAAGATATCCCAATACCAGTTTTTAGGCAGCTATCCGACTCTCAGGAGGGAGAAGTTCAAACATCTAGTGTTTCAAATATGAGCGACTATTCTGAGTATTGCGACGAATCTGTCAATCCGAATCCCATACCATTTTCACAAAGTGAGCTCAATGACCTCATCAGAGACTTAGATCTTTCGAAGGAGCGGGCCGAGTTGTTAGCATCAAGATTAAAGGAAAAGAATTGTGTAACCTCTGATGTTAAAGTTACTCTATATCGGAGAAGAGAACAAGACTTATTGCAATTTTTTTCTTCTGATGAAAATTTGGTATATTGTAGCAATGTAAACGGCCTATTAACTTTCATGGGCTTGGAGGTATATCAGGCAAGTGATTGGCGTCTTTTTATTGACAGTAGCAAACGGAGTCTGAAGGCTGTTCTTCTACATAACGGCAATAAATATGCATCCATTCCAATTGCCCACTCCACTACTATGAAAGAAGAATATCAGACAATCTCCATACTTCTACAGAAAATAAAATACGTTGAACATAACTGGGTGATATGTGTTGACTTGAAGATGGTTAATTTTTTGTTGGGTCAACAGAGTGGCTATACAAAATACCCATGTTTTATTTGTCTTTGGGACAGTCGAGACAAATCAAGACATTGGATCCAAAAAGAGTGGCAAGCACGAGATAGTTTAGTTGTTGGTGAGAAAAATGTTATTAAAGAGCCTTTGGTGCCTCGAGAAAAAATTATCCTTCCGCCCTTGCATATAAAATTAGGACTTATAAAGCAGTATATCAAGGCGCTGGACAAAAATGGTCCTTGTTATAACTTTATCTGTCAAAAATTTCCTGCAGTAAGTAGTGAAAAATTGAAAGCAGGTATTTTGGATGGACCTCAGATTCGTTTGTTAATGAAAGACTCTGCCAATTTTGAAAAGTTTATGACAGATATTGAACGACTTGCCTGGAAATCATTTGTAGCTGTTACCAATAATTTTCTTGGAAATGTTAAGGCTGCAAACTATGAAGAGATTGTTACTGAAATGCTTCATAACTTTCGAAATTTAGGCTGTCATATGAGCATAAAAGTACACTATCTCCATAGCCACATAGATCAATTTCAACATAATTTGGGAGATCTCAGTGACGAGCAAGGAGAACGCTTTCATCAAGACATAAAAAACATTGAAAAAAGATATCAAGGGAGGTGGGACATCCATATGATGGCAGACTATTGCTGGGGTCTTGAACGTGATTGTCCAACACGAAAGTTTTCGAGAAAATCACTTAAAAGACAATTTCTTGATGTAAAAAATTGAAATAGAACGATTTTTCCGTAAAATTGCATTTTTTTTTATATTGCATAAACTAAAGCTGATGGGAGAAAAACAATAGTGGTTTTCCAATCACATTATTAGGCATACCCAAAATTAGGTCTCACATCTCTGGCACCAAATTGAGTGTAGGCCTGTGTTATATATGTATGAAAAAGCTTATGTGTAACAAACGAGTACCTATGTTATATGTCACGCAATGTTTACGCGGTCAGTTGATTTTAAAAGTAAAATTACTGATAATTTATGTTTATAGGCTCAGTCATGGCGCCATATTAATCAAAAAATGCTAATAAAGGCATGGGTAATGGGAAATTGCAACAAAGAAGTTGAATTATTTTTTGTTAATTAAAAACTTAGTTAATGAGAGAAAAGAAAGATCACAGATATTTATAAAATTAATTCATTGCAATTAGTTTCTTAGTACCCACCCTTCGGCTTAGAATAATTACAGAGAAAGATCATCCTTGAGCTATAAGACTATCCCATTGAATTAATTATTACTAATATAAAGTAGTACCTATCTTGAAAGTACAGTTTTAATAGAAGGTGTGTGCCAACAATAATAAAAGTGGTGTTTCAGCAGATGTTTGGAATATTTATGACTTATTGTTGAATGCTTACAGAAGTGAATCAAGTGCCGGTAATAATGAAAATTTGAACTATTCCTAGCTCTTGATTGCATTTAGAAAAATTGTGAAGTGTCAAATAAAATTTGGACTATTGAATGCTTACAGAAGTGAATCAAGAGCCGGTAATAATCAAATTTGGACTATCGATCTGCTCTTGATTATATTTAATGTTCGAAGCTTTTTGGAACAGTTCCTGGTGCTTGTTTGCTCTCAAAAGTACAATCCAACGAATCAAGAGCCGATAATAATGAAAATTTGATAACTATACCTGGCTCTTGATTGCATTTAGAAAAAATTTGAAGCTAATCAACTGAAATTTGGATTATTGAATGCTTACAAGAAGTGAATCAAGAGTCGGTAATAATCAAATTTGGACTATGGATCTGCTCTTGATTATATTTATTGTTCGAAGCTTTTTGGAACAGTTCCTGGTGCTTGTTTGCTCTCAAAAGTACAATCTAACGAATCAAAAGCCGATAATAATGGAAATTCGAACTATTCCTGGCTCTTGATTGCATTTAGAAAAAATTGTGAAGCCAATCAACTGAAACTTCTCTAACTTGGAAAAGCTACAATTGATGCAAAAATTTGTGGACAACCAGTTAAAGCTCTTATTGACACAAGAAGTACATCAAGTTTCATAAACGCTTCTCTTCTTGAGCAATTTAAGATTCCACAAATTCCTGCTCAGCAACGAGTGAATATGGCGTCAATATCATTGTTCTCTCAAGTTGAAGGAAGTTGTACTGTGTCACTAGAAACAAATACCCGTACATATGAAAACTTGACATTACTGGTTATGAAAAATCTTTGCTCAGATATTATATTGGGACACGATTTTCTATATCATCATTCTAAGCTTAAGATATCTTGCAATGGAAATCTGGATACTTTGAAAGTATGTGTTTTGATGCCAGCAGATAGTACTCCTGCATCTCTATTCAAGAATCTCAATAACACTTGCAGACCTATAGCTATAAAATCTAAGAAACAATCACTAGAAGACCTGAAATTTATCGAACAAGAAGTCCGGATAATGCTTTCTGAAGGTATCATTGAAAAGAGTAATTCGCCTTGGAGAGCTCAAGCTTTAGTCACTTCCAGTACAAATTATAAGAGACGAATGGTAATCAACTATGCCCAGACTATAAACAAATTCACTGAACTAGATGCATATCCACTTCCAAACATAGAAGACATTATTTCAAGTGTCAAGGGTACCAAGTTTTCAGCACTATAATAATAATAATAATAAATAATAATAAATTTATTCAAACACAATTACAATCAACAACTGTTTTAACTAACATACACAAATAATATTACTTCTACATCTATTTAGCGGCACCTAAGTGAGCAAATCACCTGTATATAGATCTAAAGAGTGCATATCACCAAACACCAATTCTCGAACATGAAAAACCTTATACAGCGTTTGAGGCGTGCCGCGAATTATATCAATTCACGAGAATTCCTTTTGGTGTTACCAGTGGAGTTGCTAGTTTTCAAAGAGTTGTTGACAGTATAATCAAGAAAGAAAATCTTCAAGGCACATATGCCTTGTAACGTGCCGAAATTAACTTTTATTTGGTTCTATGCACACAGCCTAGTTTTAGCTTTTCTTGAATATTTTTTTTTTTTATTATTTGAATTGTAAGGACCTGGAGCCAGATAACATCCTGGAGAGCCCGACTCATCTATCCAGAGTCGGTGGCGCCCAAAAATAAAACCCACCCCTACTCTCCGAATTGTTTAATTCTGGGCTGGGGCATAATTTGCACGCACTTAAACCTTCAGACCTACAATCTCAAGTGTCTTCATTAAATTTTATTTTATTTTTTTTATTGTTTTTTTTTAATTATTTTTGTTGTCTCTTTATAAACTTTTTATTCACCGACAAAGCGTGGCAAATTAATTGGCGCCCAACGTGGGGCGGCCGTTTCTTTTAAAGACTATTTTTATTCATTTTCTTTTGGCTATTTCAAGTTCAAATTTCAAGTTCTATGTTTAAACTTTTTTCTATTATTTTTAGAATAACAGGTATTTCGAACCCCTGGGTATAATACCCGATTTTTTCCATCGTTCTTGTTGATTACTTAACGTATTGATTGCTAGACAAAATGGACTACAAAATGTACCTTGAAAAGGAAATGCTCATCCATGAGATTATTGTCCGGGGTGTCTCCGTTAGTGATACCAAAACTGTGGACGAATTGAGGTCTATATTGCGACCATTTTTAAAATTGGGAAAGTCTGGAGCATGTTTTTTTTTCCCATATTCCCTTAATTTTGGTGACGAGAAGGTTCAAATTCGGCAATTTCTTGATGAGGCTAATAATGTCATTCCTACCATATCAGGTGAGGCAAGTCAAAATAAATTCATTTCCACATAGTCACGATTAGTTCATTTGCTTGAGCGG